GGTTTTCCATGTTTTTTAAAAACTGGTACAACATTAGCTGTTTTCCATTGTTTTGGTAAAACACCTTTCTCTAAAGATAAATTAAAAAAGTTACACAATACTCTTGCCAGTTCTTCCTTACATACTTTTAGGAATAGGGGAAGTAAATTATCAGATAATGGACAGTATAAGAGTAGTAGCAATGTAATATAATGATAATATAATAATAATAATAATAATAATAATAATAATAATAATAATAATAATAATAATAATAATAATAATAATAGTAAATAATAGCGTAATAATAATGACATTATTGCATACAAACGGAAAAAAGAGTGGGCTAGCTTTTATCACAATATTGTGATAGTAATAGTCGTGTTATACATTTTTTTGAAATTAGTTTTTAATGACAATTGTTTTATATCTAATAGTAAATTATTCCACAATTTTGATCCAGTAAAAGAAATTCTAAATTGACCAGCCATAGTACGGGCCTTTGGTATAGCAAGATTCTGATCTTTTTCAAACCTGATATTTCTTGAATGTTGAACGGTGTTAAAATAATGATTAGGCTGATGCGGTAAATTTCCATTATATAAATCATACACAAAATTAAGGACACAAAGTTGTTTGTAAAATATGTTTTATATGTGCTACCCCACACTTCTAAGCCGTACAGTACGTAATGCTTGGTTGAATTAAAGTTTTATATAATAAAATTAAAATATTTGTGGGTACAACATATCTTTGAATAAAATACCGACTTTCATTAGAAATATTTTTGTTAACGTCGATAAAATGCTTATCGTACTCGCGCGAATAAGCGCCCCGTTTGAATAAGCGCCCCTCTCGTATAACCGCCCCTCCTAACGTGAAAATTTCCTTAAGCGCCCCGTTTGAATAAGCGCCCCTCATAAGATTTTATTTTTAGCAAGTCAATGTGACTGTGGTTGTTGGCATGATTTGAGCTGTAGAGTGTAACTTTACTCTTTTTACATAGGCCCTATTTGTCTGTGCCTAGTTCTAGTCCTACTCCTCTTTTTCTTTTTCCGACCTTTAGCACATTCTCATCTGAGTTTTAAAAAAATACAATGATCCTGCCATCCTGCTAATTTCAATCTGCCGATGGCCAACGGACTGACCACTACCCACCACCACTAATTGCATCTGCTATTTTGCTGTTATGTAAATATTCAGGCATTCTTGTCATGAGCCATGTTCTCTCGACGATTATCTTTTCTGACCACCATTCGTAATGTCCTTATACCGTATAGGCCGGCTAATCTTTTTTCATTCAAAAAGTGCCTCTTGAAATTTAATAATTTACCGTACCATAAGAACCCCTCGATTTTCATCTATTGCCAAGCGCCCCCTCAATTTCCACTCTGTTTTCATAAGCGCCCCGTTTGAATAAGCGCCCCTCAGAAAGTGCAAAAAAATATTTTAAGCGCCCGGGCGCTTATTCAAGCGAGTATCCAGTTTAAATTTTTATCAATCTTTATGCCTACAAACATTACCTCTTTCATCTTTCATTACCAATGCTGGAGACCTGTTTACTCTTGTTATAAAAAATAACAGAATTCGTTTTACTTAACGTTAATAGTTAATTCATTTGCGTTCCACGTGTTCAAAATTAGGTTAATTAAAGAGAGATCAATATTTTTTCCATGAAAATCATAAAATAAATTGGTATCATCAGCAAAATTAATCTAAATTTAAAAAAAAACTGGGGTTGGATCCAGACTGACCCTTAGTACTCCACATGGAATTGAAAGATTAAAGGAGCAAACTTGATCCGCAGCCACGAATTGAGATCTGCCTTTTAATCAGTCAGCCAAGACAGTGGTTGACCTCTTATACCATAATGTTGCAATTTAGATATCAATATTTCATGATTAATCGTGCCAATACATTCATAAAGTCAATAAAAATGCGAATTGAATTGTTGTTATCATCAATTTGTTGACGAAGATGTTTAACTAAATTTATAAGTGACAATTTTGTGATTTCTCCCAGAACCCATTACGTTGATGAATACATTTTCCCAAAAAGTTGTCAGTCTATTATTTACAATTTTCTCTAGAATTTTGCTTAGTATTGGTAAAATTGAAATTGGGCGATAGTTTCCAGGGTTGTCTTTAGAAACCTTTTTGTATAAAGTAATAACTCTGGCTATTTTAAGTGAGTCAGAAAATTTTCCCTGGGAAAACGATAAATTAAAAATGAAAGACAAAGCCATGGCAATATGTTCAGCAGCTATATAATAATAAGTTTAGCAGGTAGGTTACGGTATAATTTCCACTAGATTTATTCTTATCAAGGGAATTTATTAAGTTATAAACCTCTTCATATGACGTTGGTGTTAAAAAGAAAGATTTGTTTAATGGCCGTGTTAAAAATTCTGAGAACTTTTTAGGTGTTGGACATACTTGCCTGGATAAGTTTGGTCCAATTTCGTAAAGAATTCATTAAACCTGTCTACAATCGTTTTGGGGTCAAAAATCTCAATTCCAGTTATTGAAATGGCAATAGCGAGTACCCTGACTACAATATAACATGATCTTGGTGGCAATACTTGAGCTTTTAGGTAAAAAACAATATAATTATATATGAAGTAATTATAGTAAGTATATATATATATATTTATATATATATATATATATATATATATATATATATTGCCTATACTATATATACTATATGTATATTATAAATATGTATGTGTGTATATTATAAATATGTATGTGTGTATATATATAGGCCAGGGAATTCCACTGTTCCCTTTTTTTCACGGGTCAGGGGTTGAATAACGGGGGCCCGGGAATAAAGGAATAACTTTACAAATGAGCCCTGGCGCATGCTATGTCATAGGCTCCGTTTTACCTGCCGGTATTTACTATACCAGGCTACTAACATAACATCGTGTTTTGATGTTTAGTCATATGTACAAGGAATTGACGAGAAGAAAAATTTAAGAAATTATATTAAATTTTTTCTATTTTATTAAAGTCACTGGGAAAACTGAGCGTCTATCCATCTCTTGACGTGTGCTGAGAGCCATTTTCATTCGTCAATTAAAAAAAAAAAAACAATCTGTGTGTCCCGTGGACATACCACATACTGTTTGATAAATAGATGGACCGATAAAAACCGGTCTTCGTCGCTCTCCGTCCCCCATTATAATTGCGTTGAGTAGCAGCCGAGCAGTTAGGTCTAGCGGAAAGCCTGAATGCTGATACACATTTAGTCATGGCAGTCCATGAGAATTTAGTTCTGTAAGTGAAAAATGATTCATAATAAACTAAAAATCCTAGCTAAGATAGAACCTGACTTTTTGTGCTTCAACATGCTCCTTTTTTCTCGACGTGGCCCAGCTAGGCCCTAGGCTAGGCCTAGAGTTAGGCCACTAGGCTAGCGCTCCTAGGCTAGGTCTAGGTAGGTAGATAGGCTTAGGCCCTAGGCCCTCTAGTATAGTAGTAGGCCCAGTGGTAGTAGGCTTACCGATTTTTAATGCGTGATTCTCCAAAACGGCAATCAAAAAGAGAAAAAGGGGGCGTTGGTAAACTAGGCTGGCCTAACTGAAAAAAAGTCAAGGTCTAGGTAGGCCTAGGCTGGCCTAGGCCTAACTGAAAAACGTCAGTGACAAATACCAAAACGATAACCATTGACCAAAACGGCAAAATACCAAGAATGCCAAAAGAGCATTTCCCGTATTGTAAAGTGACAATACTTATGTAGACCCAGGCTAAGCATATATTTATTCGTTTTAATATTAAATTTCAACTTAAGGCATGACTTTTTTAAGTAACTGGTTTAGAAAACTTATTTTTTTAAAGGTCGTCAGAGGAGGGCGGAAACAACAAGAATTGTTTTCTTATTTAGCAGATGATTCTGCCTAGGCCTATGTGGAGGAAATAATAATAAAAAAGTTATTGATGTATATATGTATGTTAATATGTACGGTATGCATGAATGTAGTAGGATTTATAGCACATCATACCGAGGTCTCTATACAGTCAGTGAACAAAAAGGGAAAATTTCAAACAAGATCTGTCCTAAGCTAACCAAGAAACCAAACGACAACACAAACAGAGGGACCGGAATCACTGCATCATTATCCTGCAGTTTAAAGTGGAGGGGGGATGCGGGGATGGAACGATAATATTTAATAGAGGGATGGGCGACCACAATGACGGTGAAGTCACTCGATTTTGGAGCGTATTGACTTGAAGTTAATGCTCACTACGATTTCGAAATGGCAATTGGTTAGGCTGATATGATCGTGCCAATTTTTAGATATCGTGCTAACAAGAAATGGGAAAAAAAAAAAAGATCTGACAATAACAAGAGGTGATCCGCTAGCGGAGTGGATCACCAAAAAGAAGCAAGTAAAGAAAGGTAAGGTGAATGTAAAAAGAACAAACTATCCTAAAAATATAAAGAGTGAGAACGATCGAGAACCATAATATTGGATACAGTATTCGCATGATAGATGTGCATTAGAAACCGCTATCGAAAACGTACCGAAACCGTACCGTACGGCTCCGTGGAGTGCGAATAGCCGGTTTGTTTGTACTGTATTAGTTTTCTCCAGTAAACGTCGCAAATAGGGGCCTAGCTGGTATTGATAATAGGCCTACTTAATGGTGTTTATTTTATGATTAGTCAGTTCTTTATATTGACGTTAGCTTTTGAATAAAAGTATTGTCTAGAAATCCTGGCATACTTAGTTGAGGGTCTTTTTTGCGGGGTCTGATATTTTGAGTGGGTCTGATATCTCGTGGTCTTAGGTCTTAGCTTTCGTGGTCTGAGCTTTCGGGACACCCAGTATCGGACTCCTAATCAGGAAATTTTTGGCGCTGGCATTGGTATTTTTGTGTCTACTGCCCACAACAGGGGGTGTAGACACTATGTAATGATGTAACAATTAAAGATGGCAGAAAAGGGTAAATCAAGTTTAGGCATGATTGGTACACTACCACGAGGTAGGGGGCGCTCTATTGACAACCGCATAGTGTTTGGAACTCGAACAAAATTGTGTTCGAAACTCGAACGCGCGTTATAGAGACACAGCACGTGTTCGCCACGAATGCCTTTTACCGTTATTTGAAGGACGCCCTCTAGAACATGGTAGTTTTCTTTGTGAAAATGGTAACTCCAAGATTTACTCATTTTTAAAGTGTTTTTAGTGTAATATACTAGTAGGCCTATACAGAATATTGTTTATGTAAGACAATTTTCATGAAAAATCCAGATACACTATAATAATACACACATCTGCATATTGAAGAACATAAGATAAAATTTAAAAAAAACCAAAATTCCTGTATAAGGCAGTAGACACATGCTCCCGCTGGGAGCCTATTTTTTTTTAAAATGTATTACTACTGTACAGTTAAACTTACCTAAATCGACTGTGCCTAAGTCAAATAATTTCTAAGTCGATCTTATAATGCCAAATTGTTGTGTTTCCCATTAATTAACAATCTGTAAGTCAAATTTTATCTAAGTTGAACAATATTCTAATGGCATTTTGGATTCGCGACTTATCTAAGTTCAACTGTACTTAGTACGTAAGTGTTTTTTTGTGCTCAAAAAATTTATTATTATTATTTATTATTCATGGTATATTTTATTCAAAACAATACAAAAAGGAGAAAGCAATTGACAAAAAGTGATTTGTAGCCGAGGCTAAATTGTTCTCAATTTACAATCAATTAAAAATTAAGAAAAAGACATTAAAAATTCACAAAAATTTAAAAATTTTAAAGAGAATATAAAAATATAGCATATATTGAGAAAAAAAAAAGTGATAACAATAAAGACAACAGGATAAAAATACAAATTTACAAACTCGTGTAAAAATCAAGTAAATATATTGCAATAATTATAAATAAAAATTACCATAAAATTGAGTGATCAGGATGAGTAGGACTAATCAAATAACAAATTTGTTTTGCTTTTAGGAATCATGATATTGTAGTATAGCTATATATATACGCTATATATATCATATAGTGGTAGGGTAGGAGAACTTGGGGTGCAAGTTTTTCTCATCCAGTCGAGGCGTCGGCAACTAATCCAACAACCCCACTCAGATGTGTTTTAGTGGCTGCTGATGGGAGGGTGCCATGGAATTATCGGACGCGCTGGTCACCTGCGGATGTCTGTTGATATTTTACTCGGATTTTTGCTGTTTTTGTATCTTATTTTCGCTCTTATTTCAATTCTTGATGTGAACTTGTCTTTGTCTGTGTTTTGTGAATTTCTCTGATTGTGTAATGTTTTGAATTTTTTTACTTTTGGATGTTTTTTGATGTTACTACATTTAGGCCTACTGCTAGGCCACTTGCTTCACCTTGGATGGGCTTATGCGGTACAGTCGCCTTCTCCACTGTTGCACAACTAATTTGCATAACTAAGACACAATTACTAGGAGGAATGCTATTCAAGTATGCGAACGCAAACGCGATAGTTCAAGTGCTTATAATTATTACAGATGCTATAGCCTAAGTAAACCTAGAGGGAGACGCAGTGGAAGAAAACTACGTAGACCAATATCATCAAGAATACCAAAGACAAGGTAAAACTAGGCATCATAAGTCTGGCTTTGTTAGACTCCGAGTTAGAACACTCACAGCACTTAATATAAAGAGGAATTCAAGTAATGATCAACCAAGGAAAGGTAATTCATCATTTTTACCAACTTTTCTGTATACCAATGCAAGATCAATTAATAACAAACTTGACGAATTGGAAAATGCTGGAGCTAGGGAAAAATCTGATTTAATTGTTATCACTGAATCATGGGTGACACCATGTACAGCTCCTGAACCTGAACAATATGAATTTAGACTCATTCTACACCTTTAATAAATGTAGGCAGCACAAGAAAGGCGGCGGTGTGTTGATATATGTCAAACACCAACTAAAAGCCATTGTCATTGACAACATCAATGTGCCACCCGAGTTGGAAGTAATTTGGCTTCTGAAAACACATCCAAAGTTGCCAAGATCAGCACCTTACATCACTCTTGCAGGTATATACATTACTGAAGTTAACCAACGTGAGTTGCATCTAATGTTGGGAATTGACTATATTAGGACATATAAACCACAAGCCGCAATCATTTTATTGAACCTTTGTGTCTAGATGGTCTCAAACAAATTGTTCACTCACCCACCCAGGGTGATGCTATCTTTAAGATCTTTGTCTTCCTAATGTTCCAGAATTGCTTTATAAACCAAAGTTATTATCTTCTATAGGTCGTAGCGACCACGCTTTAATTGTTGTTAACCCCAAAATTAGGAAACCTAACAATCGTATAGTAGTTAAAACCTTTTCAAAGTATGCCTGAATCTAAAATGAATCTGTTCGGAAGGTGGGTCCAATCAGAAAGTTGGGATAATGTTCTTAATACCTCAAATGTCCAGGCTAAGGCTGATGTTTTTTATGAAGCCATGAATTATAATATTAATCATTTTTCCCTCATAAAAAAATACAAGATACAAGTCAACTTTATTGTCAAAATAATACATTCTGAGATATTTGTTGTACATGACATAGAATCGTTCATAAACATATAGAGTGTTAAATAAAGATTTCTTAGACCATTTTCCGGGGACCAAGGTTTCTCTGCTGATTCGGCATCACTAGGGTATAAATAAAAAAATGAGCGGGGGTGAGCCTCCTGAAAAAGGGCGGAACATGTTTTTTGGCGGCATTTTTAAAATGGCCGCTAAAATCAAGAGAATGGCTCATAACTTTACTTCTACTCCATGAAAAAGGGTAAATCTGGTGTCTAACTAATGTTATTAAGGTCACTGAATTCAATTAGACATGTTTCAAAAACCTAGGGATGGCAGCCATTTTGAAATTCAAGATGGCTGCCATAGTAATCTTTAAAAATCAAATATTCCAGTATAATTCCACTTCCTGTCGTTGAAAAATGGTAAATTTGATGTCTACTCATATGTAATTAGGCTCTCTGAGTCCAATAAGAATAACTTCCATAAGTTAGGATGGCAGCCATTTTAAAATCCAAGATGGGCACCACATAAATTGTCAAAAATCAAATATTTTGATATATAATTGCATTTTTCCTCGCTCAAAAATGTTAAATTTGGGGTCTAATCATATTTTATTCACATTTTTGAGTCCAATGAACATAGTTTCAAAAACCAAGCATGTCAGCCATTTTGAAATTCAAGATGGCCGCCACAAAAATCGTCAAAAATAAAATATTTGGTATATAATTTCCACTTGTCGATCAAAAGTTGTAACTTTGGTGGAGAGTAACCTCTAAATCTCTGGCCATATTCAATGCTAATGGTACATTTAGAAAATGCCAGAAATCAAAACTTGTCCACTATATGGATACAAAAATCAATTCTGCAGATACAGAATACACTGCTATCATCGATATGGGCATGGTCATCAGAAAGGCAATCCCTAATAAAGAACAAAAATATTTGATTTTTGACAATTTATGTGGTGACCATCTTGGATTTCAAAATGGCTGCCATCCTAGCTTATGGAAGTTATTCTTATTGGACTCAGAGAGCCTAATTACATATGAGTAGACATCATATTTAACATTTTTCAACGACAGGAAGTGGAATTATACTGGAATATTTGATTTTCAACGATTACTATGGCAGCCATCTTGAATTTCAAAATGGCTGCCATCCTAGGTTTTTGAAACATGTCTAATTGAATTCAGTGACCCTTATAACATATAGTTAGACACCATATATATGACACCCTTTTTCATGGAGTAGAAGTAAAGTTATGAGCCATTCTCTTGATTTTGGCGACCATTTTAAAAATGGCCGCCAAAAAACATGTTCCGCCCTTTTTCAGGAGGCTCACCCCCGCTCATTTTTTTATTTATACACTAGTAAGGCCAAATCAGCAGAGAAACCTTGGTCCCCGAAAAATGGTCACGGGGGCCCATTTTTTCACTATACTAATACTAATAGTCATAAAACAAGGATGTGTCATTTTTTGAAATCAAACCAATCAGGCAGGTATCATCAGCAAACTTAATATTAAATGATTTACTTGGATCAATATTACTACAAAAATCAGAAGAGTATACCGAAAAGAGCCAGGGCGACAAAACACACCCCTGTGGTGCCCCCGTGCTACAAGTCAACGACTCAGATACACTACCCCTGAATTTAACAATCTGTGTTCTTTCATATAAGAAATCAGATTCACCTCTCAGTGAATGTCGGAAGTCATTGTGTAAGGCATTTGCTATGAAAGCCAGTAAGAATATTTTAAGCAACTGGTTTCCATGGTCAACCTCTACTCACACCATGCAACTTAGAAGGGTGAAAAGATATGGACGTCGTGGTGTAACTACAACTAGATTTAAAAATGGTCCTCTTCCGTATCTCACAGGCTTACTTGAATCTAATAATCAAACAAAATATAATTAGAATTTTTAACACAGTAATCAATAATTTTTTTCATTGAGTCGTATACTGTTCTCTAAGCAAACCAGCTAGTTTATTAGGTAAGTACAGTAATTATATTTTTGTATTTGACTTGGGTTTTTTATATTTTTGTATTTGAATGGGGTTTAGTCTATTTTTGTATTTGACTAGGGTTTGTATTTTTTGAAATGATGTGTTTCTCATTGACTGTTTGTGAAGAGTGTCCCCAATTCAGCTTTTAGCTGCTAAGGAACTCTATTTTGCCAACAATTTGTTATAAAAATTTTGAATACTGAGATATATGGTCACCCAGCAGCAGCAAGAAAAACCAACAGCTGAACAAAGGGCGGATGAGCTCTTCGGAGTCAACGGCCAACCATAACTTGGTTTAAGGAATAGGAGTATATTTAGCCACATATTATTTTGATATTTATATCTTTAAACTTTTTTTTTCATTGTGATGCGCATAGAGGTCATGACAATATGCGAATTATAAGTCCATTATTATTATTATTATTATTATTATTTTTATTATTATTATTATTATTCCCATTTTTCCCCAACTACTGCATGGCCTCATTTGTACAAAACAAGAACTTTCATAGCTGATGTTGGAAAACAAGGCGAGTATATATGCTACAACCATTGTCAATATCTTGTATTCTGCAGGTTACTGTCCAGCGCATGAAACATGTTACTGTAAAGCTTTATTAGGCCAAGTAAAAAAAATAATTGGTTAGCATCCTTTTGGTATCAAATTTCATGGTAGGAAGGGAGGTTTTTTTTTTTTTTTTTTTTTTTTTTTTTTTTTAGGGAGGGAGGGTTTTTTTTTTTTTTTTTCTTGTAGAACATGAAAAACCAGCGTCGGAAGGAAAATTAGCAAAACAAAGAAGAGGAAAACAACAGACGCCAAAATTGGATACAAGAAGTCATGTAATTCATCTATAGCAAGCAGATAAGCTTTGCCTATATGAATAACAGTCATTGAAATCCCTATAGTTTTAAAACATGCAACATTGTATATGTTTACAGAACTGATGATATCGATAACAGGTTTATAAAGCATTCTATCCTAAGTGGCGAGTGTAATTGCTGTTGGATGTGAAATTAAAAATAAAAATAACAACAGCGAAATAAGAAGATTGAAGTTTGTCATAGTCGTATAATAATTCATTGTCCATTCATAAACAGAAACATAATTTATGAACTGGCATTTTGTACAATTGATTACTATTTCTGATTGTTTATGTGATTGAGTATGTACATATAGTGATAATACTCAATAGTGAATACTGTTAATGAGTTTGACTAGTGTCATGTGCTATGTTTATGCTGAGAAACACTTTGACATCTAGTTGGACCACCAGCTGTTTGGAAACATCACGTCACTGTACCAGCATGTGAATATTCCATGCTTTGTGTTTAAGTTTGTGTTTGCTGGACATTAATTATAACTGGACCATACTGGGTTTGTTGGTGGAACAACACAACAGTCATCATTGATGCCATGCAGGGGTTTCGCCAGAAAAACAAAATAGACAGCCTATTTTGTTTTTTCAAAATGGAAGCCAGTGGGCGTGGCACTGAGCCGATGGCGGGCCACGCCCATCATTAGTAATCCCCATCGATTATTGGTACAAAAACGTACATTCAATCATTTATCAAACGTAAATTTGATTTACCTTTAGTTTAATGTAACATTCGATAGATTTGAAGAATATATAAAGAATTTGCTAAGGGTAGACCAGGCCCAATTAGGCTAGGCCGAGCTGATTAGGCCAAGCCATCCAAGCCGTCACGGTAAAAGTTGCCGTCCTAAATAATTGTAGGCAGTCCAAAAGATGACCGGATGGCTCACTCGCTAATATACGCATGCACTATCTCGCCACTATATTTCCAGTAATAAATTTATCTATGCTGTCCTACGAAATAGCGTTAAATATTTGTTTCATTTAGTTTATCTTGAAAATTTTATTTCGTGAAATATTGCACACAGGTAAGAAGTGAACATGCCACAGTTTTAAACTGATGGGCGCAGCCATGTTTGTTGTCTTGTCTCGGTCACCACAGAGCGGTTCCTCCTTGTTTCTCTTTCGCGCTGTGGATGTCTACTTCCAAAGTGATGGAAATACCAACGCGCTGATTGGCCGACTTGGCTTTTCTGCACAAAGCATGAGACGTAAGCATCGGATCGGAGTTTAGTTTGCTAATATAAACCTAATCCAGAGTAAATCTTAATGCTTTGCATCGGTTGTACTGTGTATACAAATACACTCTTTTTATACTACTACTATAAAACTAAGCCTTTTCTAGATAGAAGCAATGACTAGGCTAGCCTAGGCCTAGACGGGACGATGATGGAATGGAACTGCAGGGATAAGCCCAGTCGGATGGCGTTCGGACGGATTGTAAACAAGCCTAGGCCTACTGTATATAAATTGCCTTCGGAAGATGGAGTTTTTGAGTGTTTTGTAAAAAAAAAAAAAAAAAATTCAGGTCGGGGGCTTTTCCGACGGTCGGGTGGGGATGCTAACCAATTGTTTTTACTTTACGTGGCCTTATAATTTTTTTTAGGCATATAGGAGAAGACAAATTCTACATTGAAGCGAGAGACCAAGGTACTAAGGAAGTTCTCGTCATTGACAGGCTAAGTCAAGAAATTGTTTTAGAACGTAAGGATTTTTTCTTTTATACCTTTTTAGTAATAGTACAGTAACATTGGTAAGAATAAATGATGTTATGATTGTAGACCGTATTTTCTTTAAGGCATATAGTCTGGCAGTAGATCATCCAAATTCAGTTGTTCACAAAAGAACAGATTAGCAAGTTTTAAAAAAATTCCAATTGATTATAGTATTTCATATAATTCAATTCACATTCATCAGGTACACCATTTTAAAATAAAAGTCTTTCACACCCATAACTCTCACACAGGGCCCCATTATTATGAATGGCATTGATGATGATTTTATCATGAAGATCATGTTAATGATGACCTGATGGTCATGATAATGATCATCATGTCATTGTGAAGTTGATACTTTTTTTGTATGCTAAAATTAAATTGAAATCTGATCCATTACATATTTTTTGTCTTATAAAAATTTCAGGACAAATACAATAAAATAATTAAAGGCAGAACATGCAAGAGAAGAAAAAGCTCAATAGCTTCTGCCATCTAATGGATCACATTCTCCAACTACATATCTTTTGGTATGTTGACAAACAACTACTCACACCATCCATGGATATTCACATTAATCCAAATAGTTGTATTGATTTCACAGCTAATGGCATTAAATTACCAACCGTCACAGCTACTCAACCAGTATGTGGTATTCTTGGCACAGTCAACCTCCTTGCAGGTAAATTTTATTTTGTAGTGATTTTTAAAAAATATATCAAAACCTCACATTGTGTTATAGTGTCAGTTTACAACTGTGTTCAGTTTAAAAGAGCATTGGCTTTTTTAAACAATCATACAGTACAAAATATAGAAATTTGGGATTTGAAAATAGGCATGTCTGATGTACGTTTAAATACAAGCATTACCTTAAGACAAATTTTTGAAATTTTGAAGATATTTTAATTAATTTAAAGTCAAATATTATCTTTAAATATTGGTTGTGTTCCAACGCAAAGAAAATCAGCATTTTATTTATTTATTTATTTTCTTGACTACGACAGCATTTTTTGAATGAGCTAAAAAGGCTGGAATAGGCCTATCTTGCCTAACGGTAGGCAATGCGACGCAATGCAAAAAAAGCTTTCCTACCGACCTACCATTTTTTTGTTGTCTATTAAATCGTCTAAAGTGTAATGAAGTTAGCGTAGAAGATACTTTTTATAACAATGTATTCATTTTGAATGGTTCATAGATTCATGAGATTAAGGTTGATTTGATTTAAATTTCCATTTGGACTAAAAATATGAAGAATTTTTAGAGGCCTTCTATGGGGGCCTAGGCCCCCATAGCTAGCAGGACTTGCCACATCCAGCTGACTAAGGTGATCACTGTTGATTTAGAGGTACTGTACACATTCAGCTAAATACTGTCACCAAGTCATTTCATTGCAATTTCTGTATGACGTATTTTAACTATTGGACAAACTTAAATTGCTGAATTGTAGAATAAGATGTTTCTTTTGACTGCGATGCCCAAATAAGAACGTTATTGTTGAGTCAGAAGAACGTTATTGTTGACCCACCTTTTTAACATCTGAACATGCCAGCGCCTTTGATTTTTAGTTCGGTTTAGTGATATTGGCGCTTTATTAAATTAAAATTATTATTATTATTATTATTATTTGTATGACTCTCTAGTCTAGGGCTAGGCCCGTGTTCACGCGACAAAGCTATGCAAAAATGTTCAAGTTTTCCATTTGTTTCCTTCACTCCATTTCAAATCTAACAGATCAATACTGTGATGTTTATTAAAGAAATATTTACCACAGCTTTTCGATAAGTTATTTTACGATAAAATGTACAAATAAATAAGTTTGAGGAGTTTAAAAACTGTCAAAATTTACTTCAGCAGAGGCTTATTATTGTGTGAAAAAACTGCCATCTACCAGTTTGTTTTGATGTTAATTATGCCCACTATAATATAATATTAACAGCTTTGATTTGGTGACTAATTCAGTCTATTGGGTTGTCATACTTCCTCAAGCTTGAATCTGCCTATTTTTCGTGTTAAATTAAAATCGCCTGAGCCATAGTATTGAGAATTTGATCATCGGCACATTTTCAAACTCCTTATAGTCTTTTCCAACTTTCTGCAATATTGTTCTACCATAAATCTTTTCTTTTGTTGAGGTGGAGTGTGTGGAAGACATGAGTTGGTTGGATATAAGTAATGGTATCCGTTTTATGTAGCATTGTTGTAATTTTGTGGATAATAGCACTTGGCTTTTGGAGCATCAATAAATTGAAGATTTTTTCCCAATGAATGATGGTTATTCGGTATTTTTGTGATTCTCACAAGGGGGTAGGAGCTTCTCCATTTCAAATCTTTCAGGTTGGTAACTACAGTATGTGTTTTTGAGGAGTGAGCGAAGCTCTAGAAGTCTTGAAAAGGGGTGCTGATGGGAGGAAAGGAAGGTAAATTGGGGGGGCGTATGTCGTTTTAATCAATAGATAATCTCTACGGTAACGCTTTTGGGACTGAGCTAGTTGTATGACGATTCATTCACAGGTGTTGTGTAGGCCTAGTTGTTAATTAACAGACAGCGATGATTATGGCGTTATTTCTTCAGGAAATCGTTGTTTATTAACTGCTTGTTCGGTTTGTAAAATTTGATTTTTATGTTTCGGACCAAATAAAACGTCCGGAATTCGGAATAGAGGGATCCGGTTTTCGGAAAGTATTTTATTAAAGGAAGAATAGGAATGGTTTTGGGACTTGAAAAAAAGTTCAGTTTAATAGCATGAAATTTGGTTTTTTGGCCATTTGGAATTTAGAGATTCCATGTATTGGTATATTACAGTAGTTTCATTTTATTCATCATCATAACATTTGTAAAACATTGTTCAACATTTTATCAGTAATTATTTGCTGCTTGATTGGGTGACTTGAAAAGACATTCATCAATGTTACAACAGGTCGGCATGGATTGATTTAAGGGCTGTAGCTGAAACTAAAAACTGCTGACGTTATAACTGGCGTCAATTTTATAGCGCTGGCGATTTTCATATCTCATCATACTTTTTTCCTAATTTTGAGGGCTGCACCATAGCTTGGAGTGGAGTTCAATAGTTTAGTGGTTAAAATGCTTGCCTTCCAATCCCAGGGTCCTGGGTACAATTCCTCTCAGTGTTACTGTATTTTTTCTCGTGACGAAAACAACTCCACTCCTTAAAACTTCATATTGAGATTTAGTTTTGTGTAAAGCATCGGGTGTGTTGTTTATGAAAGGGATCTTCAACTACAAGTAAGACGGTGATAAATTCACTATTGAAAATGCTTGGTATGTGTTAAAAAAAATTTCTACTGTAGTTCTTTTTTTACCAAGGTTTAAAAAATTTTTCTGGCTTTATTGCATTCATTTTATACTGTATTAGTTTATAGTTTTAGCATCTTCAATTACTGATTAGGCTATTTTTAGTAGTATGCTCTCTCGTCCACAATTCAGTGCTATGTAGACGACTTCTATAAGGGCTGTCTTACTTTTGCTTCATAGACTTCTCGAGTTGTAAAATTGCATTTCAGTAACCAAGTCTTAAAATATTCGTAGTAAATACAAAGTTTCTGCCACCTAATAATTTGTCTTGAGTTCAAGATATGGGTTTCTTAAATTACAGGTTTTGGATATTCAAACAATGGGCCTCTTTTTCTAATAATTTTCACAATAATTTATCAGTAATTAGAAAAATATGAGTTGTCTAGGGACAATTAATTAATTAAGGATCTTAATGGAAGAGTCATTGTTCTGAACTTCAGACATTATTTATGGGTCTAGTAGGCCTGTGATTAAAGCCCCATTCCCGGCAAAATTTCAATTTTTAAGAAAAATCTAATTTTTGTATAATGTTATAAAGATTTATAAATATAATACGGAATTGCTAGTTTAACTGAATTTAGACATTCCTAAGAATGAAAAAAATGTAAAATAAGACTGAAATTTGATTTTTTGTGTTCCACACAAAAAATAAATGCGGATGAATTTTTCATGTTGATTTTGCGATAGGTCGTGAGTAGAAATATCGTAGGCGCCGAAAACATTAGCCTATCCAACGCTGCTGGCTAGGCCTAGCCTTACCTCGATTTTAGGTTCTGTTATCACACATAAAAACGGCCGACATTTGTCGAAAGTGATATAGTGCTGTCTCTTATACACATCTAGATTTGCTAGTATTGACACTTGTGAAATATAATATTTCATAGGAATTATTTCAAATTTGTTAAAAAACTGATTCTGACTGAGATTTTGACACTTAAACAAACATATCTCTGCCTAACCGAACGACCGCATTGTGTGAGATGCGAAGTACAAAAATTAATCTCATTAGAGAGGGCGCACTTTATTGACTGTATAAAGTATACATAAAAGCGAGAGTATTCCAGTGGATGTGATCTACAACCTCTGTATTTGCCTAGTAACGATGAATTCGTCGAGAAAATGGTAATATTTTATGAGAAATAGTCTGTGTTTCTCATTTTTTTTATTCTTTTGCGTAAAACTAAAATTCATGCCAATATTTTTCCATGATTTATAATAATTGGAGTAATGCAAATGCATATTTTCTAAAAAAAAGTCAATTTTTAGTGAAATTTTGCCGGGAATGGGGCTTTAACATCCGTAATGTTTTTGTGTATTTCCGTACATCTGTAATTAGGCAAAATTTGCAAAGCTACGGAAGATCTGTAGGAATTGATGTATCTGGTCAGTGTTTTCAAGCTGATTTACTTTTCTTGATTAAATTGTTTGGTCAGCAAAATAACACTATCACCCCTTCCATCATTTCTATCCTTCATTGATGACATAATTAATGTTGAAATATTGAATCTCAACACGATGGCGTGTATTTCAATACTTAGAGTATGTATTACACTTTCTTATCCAGGACAAGATAGTTCTGCATCCAGACGTATTTAGCCCTGTTTCAGAAAAACAAACAAAATCAAATGAGTTACACAAAAGATTCAAAGTTACATATGTCAATTTTTTTTTTATGCTTCATCTATTTTAATTATCCTATCTGAAGGAGCAATGCTCTGGGGAAGCTGTTGGTTTTACCTATGTTCTTCATGTTGTTGTTACCAACATAACCAAAGCTAAGTGAAAACCTGAATTTTTTTGGCAATATTTGGGCAATTTTTCCGAAATTCCGATTTGGTGGGGGGACCCAGCAGACCTTGGTGCACCGCCCCCCCCCCCACCTTTTGGAAAGTAAAAGAAAGGGGAAAAAAGAAAGAAAAAGTCTTGTCTGTTTCAGCATAGGCAGTTGCTTATACTTGCTGTTGGTTTTGATTTGGTGCTAGCACTTTGTATCTGCAAAGATTGCTGCTGTATAAATGAAAGAAATACCAAAAAAGTCTAAATGACATTCAAAAAAATGCACACAACACAAGATATGTTACAGCATAGCATTAATCAGCACTGACCGAGGTCAAAATGGATCATAAAAGTTAACAATTGAGAGAAAATTAAAGCAATTTCCTTTTCCAATAGTATGGTGCGCTAATTTTGATTGATTTGGAATTTCTTTTCTTTGTTTTCTAGGCCATTATCTTATCCTTATAACCAAGAAGATGAAGGTGGGTGAGATCAAAGGGGAAACTATTTGGAAAGTTACAAGTACAGAATTATTTCCTTATAGGAAAACACTACTTCACTTGTCAGAGATACAGGTATTAACAAGAGCCCTCAACAATTGATTTAAACTTCTGCTCTATATACAGACATGCCAACCACTCCGAATTCAGTGGAGTTACTCCGTTTATTTAAGAAAAACTCTGCACTCCAATTTTGGGTCGAAAATCTCCGCTTTTTACGCATTTTGGCCAGCTGAAATAAATCGCACATTTCCAAATAAAAATGATAATCCTATGATTTAGATACGAATAAGACCACTTAATTTTGTCCTGAAAACAGCACTCTGAACTGTATATGAAATAATAATTCGCGCTTTACGATCTATTGATTTTTTAAAAAAAACAATTTCATTGACCAAATCGCTGTGAGAGTTGCACACTGAACTGTATACGAAAAATTAATTTGTGCTCCACATTCTACTGATTTCGTCACAACAACAGTCTAGTAAAACACGATTTTGAAAATGGAGTCTGATGAGGGCGATTTAGATGTAGGCCTAGGCAGTACCAAAAAATGAGTAGTAGTGTTGAGCTTTCTCCAAAAAAGAAGCTAAAACACTAAGATAATAGAAAGTATCCTGTGTTGATTTTCTGCCTAGGCCCTAGTTTTGCATGGTGGTATTGCTGTTGTGACTCAAAACGGTTACATTTTACAATCCGATCATATTGGTACCATGATAATAATAATAATAATACACATTTTTAAAGCGCCTATTAAAGCAAACAAAAGTGGCTTTTCACCGATGTCTTAGGAATACTCCTCTCACATTGCCAAAACTCCGCTCAGAAGTTTTTCAGACTCCTCTTGTTGATCTTGTAGGGTTGGCGTGTCTGTATATAATATAACACCATCATCATCATCATCATCGAGCTGTAGATTGATGGATAAGATGCTTGATTTCTAGTCCAAGGCTTTGGTTCAAATTGTGTCAAACACCAGGATGTTTTGTCACGACCACAAGTACTCGATGTATGATAAAAATGGCCATGGAAAAATGGCCCTGAAAAAAATGCCATAGAAAAAAAGGCTCAATTAAAAATGACCCAGGTAAATTGGTCCCAAATGATAACATTAAATAAAACTGATTTAAATGCTGCAAAATAGCAACAATTGAATCAATAAATCCGCATTAAATCGATGTTTTTAGTAGTCCATGTGTTTTTTAGAATAATTTGTATCTTGTTTGTTTGAAATATTTTTATTTATTTTATTTTAATTTTTGTTAATTAAAGTTTTAGTTTATTGTTCATAATAAAAGTATAAACTAAATAATACATCATTATTGACTTTGTTATTAGTTTAAATTGTTTAAGTGAATATAACAGGTATTTTTTTAAATAACTAGTAAACATACCCACTTAATCTGAATGTGTTTATACTATAGTACAGTAAGTAAAAATATAACTTTTAGATAGAACTAGTAGTAAAGATGCTTACTAAACTGGAATTTACATAAATATACTAAAGTTGAAATATAACTATCTATAAAGATCTAGTTAAATTTTGTTAAATTTTATTAAAAAATGAATGCTTCAATTCAAATGTTTTTATAACTCATGACAGTAGCATCGTTTAAAAAGATTAATTTGTTTAAAAAACACAAACTAATGATTGATTAAATTGTTCTATTTAAAAAACATTGATTGATTAAATTATTTTTTTTAAAAACCCAAGCAAATGACTCAAATTACTGAATTTTATAATGTAAAAAATAAAAAATTACTTTATTTTAATCTATCAACTATTTTAATAGTTTTTATATAATTACTGCATAAAATAATATAAATGGCAACTTATTTGATATTAGATTGTTTTTAAAAACTAAATAAGTTAATATTAAACAAATTATGATTTATTGATTCAATTTTTGCCATTTTGCAGCATTTAAGTATATATATTTTTACAATCAATTATACTATTACTAAATATTATCATTTTGGGCAATTTTTACTGGTGCAATTTTTTCCATTAGAGACTTAAGCCATGTTTACATTGGATTAATTCTGGTTCCTGATAATACGTCACAGGTTGCTGAACGTTTCAAAGAATGTATACTGTACCATTAAATTGAGCAAGCATACAAAGTTTACGAATTTAGGTCATTTTCATAATTTTAGCCCACTTTATCAGCTTTTTATCTTCTTCAATTAATAATGATCAGATCAGAAATGTTGGACGTGTTCCACTGGTCTAGATAGGCTGGATGGATGGATTTATTTGGTGTAAACACACCAAGGCTAACCCACGAAAGTCTACAGAAGTCGTATTTCCAGAGGGGTCCTTCTGGTGGTGATTGCAGTATGCTGGGAGGCAATCCCCTGCTCTTTTCCAAATAGTGTACTGCATCCTTTAATGTGCACACGGACCATATTGCACACAGTACAAACGGCTTAAACGTCTCATCTTAAAGATGGTGCACTATCAGAACTTGCATTTCAGCCCTCTAGCTGAAACACAAGGAGAGCAGCGATGAGAATAGAACCGGGACCTAGAGACCTCCACGGTTCAGCACACACCCACAGTGGCTACCACCAGTTTAGCCGACTCAGCTAAACTGCTCTCTTAAGGCCTACAATGAGGAAAAGTAAAACAAAGTTTAAACTTAATAATGAAATATAGTTTAAACTTAAAAATTAAATTTCCTTTTTTGGTAAAAATTCCGAAGTTTAACCTTTGTTTAATTTGAATACCAACATTCGCTTATTATAGAACTGTTTCATGTGGAGTCAAAATGTAGTTGCAATGCAGTCCTTATTGTGGTAATCAGATGATTTTCAGTAGAAATGCACCTAAAGAACTGCAATCAATTTTTAATTAATTAAATCCAATAAACTTTCACTACCAAGGTTTGGTTATAATGCCAATATCACACATGCTTTTAAATGTGATTTGGAATTGTTTTGATCCAAATATAATTATTAAATTTTTGTGTAGCAACGTTATAATAGAGTTTATGAGAACATGATACAGCAAGTATTGGATATGAATTGCTACTACTTCTCAACAACCTATGACCTGACCCATACACTACAGAGGTTATACAACACCAGTCCTGAATTTTCGCAGATACCTCTTCATGAAAGGGTAAGTTCTTGAAAAGTCAAGTCAACTAGCTGTGATTGCCTCCTTGAATTAAATTTTCTGTTTGGTTTCTATCTTTTTGTATTTTCAAGACTACTAATTGAAAAACAAATATATCCTTGAGCTTAGATAAGATAGGAACTAGAGAGGCCTATCCTGGCCTGTCTGACTTAAGTGCCCATAATTTATTAATAATAATATAATAATAATAATAATAATAAATATTTATTAATTAGTCTTATCTAAATATATTATGCTAATATCAATGGGTCTCTGAGTGATAGCAAGCAATCAAATGTTGACTACAAAGCTTTGCATAAACTAGGCTCCTATACATTCTTTCAATGTGGCCAGAGGCCTAGAGTGTAGCTAAGTGTTGCTGTGATTACCTTGGGCGAGACTTTTTTTTATTCCTTGTTTCGCATACTTATTTTTTGAAAGATTTTTGGTGGAGGGCAGAATAAATATAAAACTAAAATTATGTTTTATTATTTAGCAAATAGTGTTGCCCAAATCATCCAGAAGGATGAGAGAATAAAAATAAAATTTTATTGGTGAATCTAAAATAGGATGGTTAAATGCTTCAAATTTATATAATCAGGAAGAAATATACATATCTTATTTGAGATTTCAAGACAGCGGAGGACGTAAATAAAAATAAGAAAAAAAATTATTTTTTGTGAAATTTCCACTTTTTCGTGGCGGCTAATTGGCCAAAAATAAAATTTTATTTCTATTCAAAATCATCAATATTTGCAGTCGACGGGTTCGCTAAACAAGGTATAAAAAAAGTCTTGCCTTGGGTAAAATATATTTTTTACGTGATTGTGACATACTTAGACTCACCCAGCATTCAAGTAATTTTTAAATGCAAATATTAAATATTATAATACTGTCCCATCATTTTTATGTAACATACATGCTTGGTGACTCTACAAAATATATTGTGTGACCCTTAACAGAAGTTTCAACCCTTACTTGGAATTCCAGGGCACATGAGACAGACCTAATTATTCATAAAATTTGTGTATTCTATGTGGCTTCGTAATAGAATTTAGTTTAGTTGAGAAATTTAAGCACACATGATATTTTCTTGTAATTTATCTTTCCTCCAGGCTGATCAGAGGTTTGTTTGGAATTGTCATTTGCTCCGGGAATTAAGTGCTCAGCCTGAGGTAAGAATAAAGTTGCCATTCTTTGCCACACAGGTATTATATGCATGAACCATACATCTTTTATAAGTAAAGATTATAATTCAATTCAGCTACATTTAAACGAATAGATATCTTCTCAAATTTCCTTAATGAAGAAACAGGTAAACTTCTTGAACTGAAATCCTTGATAATTGAACCAAATGGATGCAAGTTGATAAACACCACACTTCTTTAGAAATACTGCACAAAAGATTTAATAAACGACATGTTTGGTGACCACCAACACATCAACAGTAATTAGCAGAAATAAAATAAAACCAAGCCCTTTTCTTGTGGACTATATATATAGATAATTTTAATTATTTATTATAATTATTTTTATTATTTTAATTTTAACATTGGAGTTGAAAAGCTATAGTAAAATATATGCAAGGTATCTAAAACCCTGCATATACGTTTGCTGATGTGTAACTTAACAGGTTTTAAGTTAACATGTTTAATTTGCATATTGACATCTTTCATATTTATTGAAGTTTTTGTTGACAACATTTCACTGATATTTTGTTAACAGTTGTCAAGGTTCATCCTTCCTGTGATGTGTGGCTGTATCCTTTTGCTGGTCTTTTACATACTCTGTAATATGATGTTTTTTTGTGGGCATTGGTATTAAGCCTACAAAAAATTATTATTATTTTATTTGACAAAAAATGTGGTCATGATGAATTCACATAATGACCATATATAGGCACATCATCACTACTGTATATGGGAATACAGCATTTTGTTTGTCAAAGAATATTTGATAATCTGGACAGAGCTTCAGTAATTTTGAAAGTATATTTTGACACTCCACTGCAGCCAACATTAATATTCTTTGCTACTAAAATGTGACTGAGAAGTATGGATATTTATTTGACTTAAGATAGTATAATACATACTCCAAGTATCGAAATGCATGCCATTGTGTTGGGATTCAATATTTTGACAGTAATTATTTCATCATCAGGAATTCATTCATTCCTGATGATGACATAATTAATGTCGAAATATTGAATCCTGAAACAATGGCGTGCATTTTGATACTTGGAGTATGTATTGTACTATCTTATCTGAGATTAATCAGTGGACCTTTTGGTTATTTAACTTAAGTTAGTCAGCATTGAAAAATAGGGTTTGAATATTTTGAAAGGTGCTTAAGTTAATAATTTTCAGTTTTTTAAGTTAATAATTTTTTTAAGATAGGATTGTGGAATTCATGTACTAGTTTAGATCAATAATAATAGTACAAAGAAATGATTATAAATAGCATAATTGGAAATAGGACATGATATATATATTTTTCTTATATTTTAATCTGGACACATATTTGTACCATAAATCTATATCAGATCATTATGAAGATAGTTATGAAGTATCCTAATGTTTTAATCATATTCCCACTACACAATATATTTTTTATACTTTACATGATACAAAAGAGATGTAAACATAATAATGAGTTGCAACTCACTTTATCTTTAAGCTACTGTACACTGCCTTCAGTCAATAGATGCCAAACCAGTAATCAAGGACGTAAATATTAAAACTATTAAAATTTATTTAATGTCAATATACTCATAAACATTTGCCAAAATGAGAAAATTATTAATTGAAAGTACTTAAAATATATACTGTATAAGACTAGGCCTGTACTTCTTAAGAAATATTATATATTAATGCTCTATTTATTAACATTTTAAAATGGCAAATGAATAAATTGATTTACAATATAGCATTTATCCATTGATTAATTATAGTCAGATATAGGCAAGGTAAATATTTCTGTAATTAGAGACGCTGCCATCGTCAACATGAACATCATCAACATCATGATTATTAGAGTGTAATGATTATTATTATTACTGATTAGGCGAGACTTTTTTTATACCTTGTTTCGCGAACTTATTTTTTTATAGATTGTCATACGAGGCCGAAGAAAATAAAAATAAAATTTTGGTTTTTCATTTAGCAAATAGTTTTGCCAAAACGTCTAGATGGAGCAGACAATAAATATACAATTTTATTGGTGAATGTAAAAAGTGTAGTAATGATGGTAAAATGCGGCGGCAGGCGTAATTAAAATTAAGAAAAACTTTTAAGTGCCATTTAAGAAGAGAACTGAGCAAAGTATACAAGATTACTAAACAACTCTGTGGTCAGATAAACATCAAAACCATGCCAGTTAAAGACAAACAGGGGAAGTTCATAACTACAGAAAAAGGCCAACCTGCGAGATGTGTTCAACATTTTGAAGAGGTGCTCAATTAGCCTGGCCTGATGAACCTGCACCACCAGAGCCTGTGGAAGACCTGATAGGCATTGACACCAGATAACCAACCAAAATTAACAGCAATCAAGGCTGTGAAGAATGGAAAAGGTGTAGCAGCAGTTCAAGTGGATTTACTGAAAGCTGATATCAACACAGCCTCTGGGGCAGTGGTGGCGACGGGGTTAACACAATCAATCATTAATTACAATGAAAGTTTGTTTAAGTATCCAATGGAATTTGTTGGAACCCCAAACATGGTGGGGCTAAGGTGGTCCATCTGTTCTCTATTTTGAATCCCTCACTGCCTTTCATAACAGTCCTAGCCTATCTAAAGTCTTATGTATTTTATAAACAGCACTGAAAATCCACCAATTATATAGTGCTATTTATCTGTTGTGTATGTTAGGTATTTCAATATTTAATACTGTTTAAATTTATACATTAGCCATTTTTTAAATGTATGGACATACCCTATGTGTTATGATATAGTAGGTGTATGCAAACAGGTAATGTAGTTCAGTAAATGTGAGGCCGTTTTCAAAAGCCTAATTGTATGTTGTGTTTGATTTCGGATTGCACAATTCAAATACAGTATACAAACATGCGAAATTGCAAATTACACCTTTGAATTGTAGGCTATAGTCTTGATCACCTACAAAAGAATAATCTATTATAAAATGACAAAATATTCTGTGTTTGCATTCATGTTTTTTTTTAAATTAATTGTGCAGAGATAAGAAAGTTGGGAAATTGGTTTTGTGTATTCTTACCACTTTAAATAACTCTGCCAAGTTCACTTGACTTTTCTAAGAATGAACATGTTTTTGTTAAAAGTTAGTAAAAGAAAGATGTTTTTGTGAATTGTACTTAACCAAACCAACAGTCATCAGTGTAAAAGTTGGCCTTATAAATAGTAGGCGTTTTGAGTATATACTTGTGTCACGTAGAAGCTGCTTTCGTGCAGGAACAAGGTTCTACATGCGTGGTCTTGATGAAGAAGGGCATGCAGCAAACTTTGTAGAGACAGAACAGATCATACAATATGATGGTAACATGGCCTCTTTTGTCCAGGTAAGTGTACTTGTCATTATTGTAGTTTCTGGTGATAGCAATCCTGTTGTCACAGAGTTGCAGTGTTCCACTCAATCAATATTGCTAAATATAATATGGTAATAAAAATGGCAGACTTATCAGGCGCTTTGTCATGACATTTATGTGCATCACAATTTAAAATACGAAATATGAAAAAAAACTTACCTACAAATTCTTGTGTATTCTGACATGGTAATCACTCTGGCCTGGAATTAGTTTTAAATTTAGCAGTTTTTTTTTCAAAATTGTAGGTCATTGTTTATTATTAATAATTTAATAAGGCATTATTTTATTAATGATTACTAGCAAGTATGTTGGGTGTGTTGATTGATAATATTATCTGCAGGTTAACACAATCAAATATTAAAATATACATATGATTGCTTTTAACCGTTTCCTTGTATTTAATTTGTTAGACTCGTGGATCAATTCCACTTTTCTGGTCTCAACGTCCAAACATTAAGTACAAGCCAACTCCACAAATCAGCAAATCCCAAAACCATGTAAGTATCATTTTTCTTGTCTTATTCTATTGCATGCCATTGGTTTGGTTAAACATTATGTTGGTGGTAGCTATTTTGTAATTTATAGGTTCTATAAATTAAAACTTCTTCTAAATAAATATATTCTATTATAATATTGATATACTGGTCGTAATTTTTATTTTGTAGCTTGATGCTTTCCATCGTCATATTGATAGTTCGGTTGTCAGTTATGGTATGCATGTTCTGATCAATTTGGTAAGATTGAAAACAGAATAATATTACATAATAAAAAGAGGAATAATGTAAAATATGGTTGGTCATATTCAACCTCATTTACAATTTTTATATCATTTGGAATGACATACAAAATTTAATAAATTAGGATACAAATGATTTTTGGAATAACGTGATAGGGACCTTGTCACAACTGCATTTTGACTCTACATAAAACAGTTGCTTGTAGTTGACATTGGGCTGATACTTCTGTAATGTGTTGCTCAATGGTTCACCTGCTACCAGCATCAGACACCTTTAAAAACTTAAAATAAATGGTTCACCCAGATTTATTACTCCAATCATTATTTTCTGGCTTCTCTTTGATCATTAATAAAATTCTTCTCGCTCAAAACTCCATCCATGGTTTTCTTTTATTCAGCACACATAAAATAAGCCAGTTTGACAATGTATCGAGTGATAGCAGGTTAGGGATTGTTGTACAGTCTTTAAATTATGACTTTTGCTAGTGTTTGTACTTGTGTATTGTATAATTTTTTCAACATGAAATATTGTGTATGCTATCTTTTAGGCAAAGTTTAACTATGCTGGCTACAAGTACGCCTAGACTGGAAGAGTGTGAGGCTCATTTCTTTTTCGATTTTTAGATATATCACGTGTCAAAAATACAAACCTGGAGCAAGTAAAATATAAAGTCGGCTACTGTTTCATTGATGTGCTGTATATGTAGTAATTAGCTTTTTGTTCATGTCCACATTATATTGTCTTTATATAGATTGATCATAAAGGTGCTGAGAAGCTGTTGGAAGATAGGTTTGCAAAGACTGTATATGATTCCAAAAATGAGCAGATTAGGTATTCTAAGTTTTTTCATTTATTACTAGTTTATATTTTCTATCAATCTTTTAATCACCTTTGTAGTAAAACAATAAATTTGTGCTGCAATGTCTTTGCAGGTACGAGTCCTTTGACTTTCACCATGAGTGTCGGAAGATGCAGTGGCACCGTCTCTCCATCTTAACTGACAGGTTAGCCAAAGAACAAGAGCAGTTCGGGTATGTCAATCCATGGACATCTAGTCAACCATCCTTGATTTAATGTTTGCATTTACCCCAAAAGATGTTTTTTATAAATTGTTACATGACAGGGTTCCAAGTCTCCCGGAACTTGCGGGAGTCTCCCGGAAATTGAGACAGCCTTCCGTACTCCCGCAAGTAAGCAAGAAACTCCCGAAAATTAACCCATGCCTTGCGAATTCATAATATTTGCATGTTTTCACTGCTTTATTATCATTGGAAGTCACGGAAGTCATTGCCAATGTGTATCATAGTGTGCAGCAAAATCAAATTAAATGTTACAAAATCTCATTAACCAGATCAGTGGCAGAATCAAGAAAAAAAAGGAGAGAAAAAGAAAATCATATTCAAAGTTTAGTCCAAGAGTGTCATTTCTGGTCATCTAAAGGTGCCATAATAATACATTTTCTTACCTCAGGCCCAGTCATAGTGGGGGCTGAGGTCTTTTGACCCTACATCTGTGAAAGCCCCTCTATTCAAGAGTGATAAGTGTGGCACCAGAATTTGCTCGAGGGGGTGTCCGATGTTCCCGATGAGGTGACCGATGTCTCCGACAGAAGCAAAGAAGAAAATTGTGTTTTTTCTTATATTTTTAATGTAGCAAATTGGCTTTTTACCAAAATCATCTATGGAAATGGAAATCGAATTTTATGGCACCTTACACAATTACAAATTGTCTCAAATCACTTGAAGAATATGAAAAAAAAAAAAAAAAATAGAAAACCCAAGAACTATCGTAAAACTAATCATCAGGGACAATTTACCAAAGAATGAAATCTAGGCATAAAAGAAAATAAGAAAAACATTTTTATTTGTTAATAAAAAAAAATGAATGTTAGTGCTTGAGGTAAAATTTAATAAAGGACGCTCTTCGCCCTTCTCTTAAAATCACATAGCATTGAATAAAACAATGCACTGAATTTTTTAAATATTTTACCTAATTCTCAGGGGAAAAGTTAAATTTTTTACAGCAACTGGTAAGCTAACATGCCAAACCATAATATGAACAAATTAGCTTCAATTCATGGTATTTTATCCATTAGGTATTTTATGGTATCATCAAGCAATGAGCTATTGAAGCATCAGATTGGTGTATTCAGAACTAACTGTATTGACTGTTTAGACAGGACCAATGTTGTCCAGAGTTTGCTTGCTAGACGTTCTTTATATGAACAGATGCAGGTGGGTAGACATTTTTTTTATTATTATTTTATGTCAGGAAATGGTAAAACTTAAAATATGAAGAGAAAGTAGAATAAGATTGAGCCAACTAGTACTGAATTTGAAGGCCTGCAAATAGTGGAAGATGGTTTCATTTGAAACAAAAATGAATAGGAGTATGAGGAGAGGGGTGGAAATAGAAAATTAGTGGACTCATGCAGGAGCAATCAGGTTAAAATGAAAGTGCAATTCTTTATATATTTTAACAACTTGTTGCACTGTAGCAGCAAGTAAGGTGGCGGGCATGAAAAAAAACCTAGCTTCCGAGAGACTTGCTTAGTTATGTTGGGATTGTGTCTTCCAGTGTAAATTGGAAGAAACAGGCAAGATCTACCTTATCTCCTTCATTCATTCTTATGACTAAAACAACTCAATTCAATACACCTCATATTGAGATTTAGTTTGTGTAAAGTGCTAAATGAAAGATTGGGTACTGAATGTAATTTTAGCCCACCTTTTTTTAGTCGCTCGTTGTGGAGTGATATAAATCTGTGATGTGGGCGCATGTAGAGCACATGTTCTAGCATTGAGAACATGTTCAATGCATTTTTGCGTCTCACTACCACCTAGTGGTTTAGTGTAGGCCTACTGTACTACGCTTGAAATGAGTGCAGACTAACATGAAATCAGCAATTCCTATAGTTTTAATTTTATATTAATATTATATTCATATTAAATATTGTCCACACAGTTAAAACATTAGTGTATTAAAACGATTGTTTTGTTAGTTATCTTAATTATTTTGTACGATGATCAAAATGCAAGGCCATCGATCTATGCGTCTGTGTGTTGACATGCCGTAAATAATGATGACCGAAACAAACAAGTAAAGTTTGTGTTCTTGTACACTAACATTTTTGTTGTTGACGATTTTATTTCACTCATATCATACAGTACATGTTTAACGTAGCAAAAACAAAATTCAGACTAGGGCTTTAATTTTGTTGACCTATGTATAGCAGACACATAGCAGTGCATAAGGTGACAGCGCATAACAATCCAGCAGCGGTGTGTATCGCCTCCGAAGACTTTAACCGCGTATATCAATGTTGTTTGGTTTGTTTACAGTTGTGGTAAGATTAAGTTATAAAACCACTTATAACTTAAACAGCATGCATGTACAAGCTGCACATTCGCTGTAACAACAAAGCAGCTTTATTTTAAACTATTTTCTCCATGTTAAATTTTATCTTTGTTTTTTTTTTGTTTTTTTATTTCTCACACAGCTTTGCGGCCCTCCATAAATGTTTCGTGGCCCATAGTATGCGGAACGTCGGTTTAGAACACCATGTTTGTGTATTTTTCAAAAAATGACCTGAAATGCCCTTTTGACATGTTATTATTCATATGTCTATCTCCATTTACAACCATCCTGGTTATAAAGTCTTTGTATTGATGTTGTGGTCTACTATGATCAGACCTAACAAAATTAGCATATTCATCCTCTCGTTCCCAAGGCCGTATTACCCATAGGGTACCACAAGGAAAATTTTCTTAATCCTAACACCCGTCGTTTGGATTGTGTAGTCCGACTTGTACTCCAAGTAAATCTTTACATAAAAAAATTGAGCCCCACACTCTACTACCAGTCTAGCCTAGAGGCCTAGTTCTATGCTTAGCTAAATTTAGAAAAAAAACAGAAAGCATTCACAGAATTGTATATTAATTTTAGGTAATTATTATTTTTTCAAGCCATTTATGAATGGGCCCCTAAAGCCTTGGGCAGTAGTGCTTTGCACTGGGTGTACTACCCATTCGTACACCACTGTTTCTGTCTTTGTTATTCACACTCTGGGATGGGATTTGACTCGCGATGTTTCAAGCTTAACATAGACAGCAGCCATACATACATGCCGGTACAATGTAGTTTTGTTAACCTCCAGGTACAACACGTTTTTGTATCAGACTTGATTTTATATTTAGGCCAGCATTTGTAATGTCAATGTACAGTACCCTCCGGATTACGATCTTTATGTGGAGATCTGATGCAATATTGATGCATCTTTAACGTATTCCCTGGGTCACAGTGTACAATCGCGAAATACGATTATGGTTTTTTGTAAACACACACACACACACATACTGTAGGATAGTCAAATTGGCCCCTACCTACCTAATTTTGTTTCTACATTTTGCCTGTACAGGTACATTGTAATTTGTATTAACTAGCAATATAAACTACAGCACTGGCACAGGTCTAGTTTAATTTGTACTGTATTTAAGTATGTTATTTATGTCAAGTTGTTTAATATGTATTTGTATGTCCTTTTGCAGCATTAAAGTTATCTGTTATCTAAAATAATAAACTAGTTATGCTAGTTGAAAAAGTTAATATATGAATATAGAGTACTAACCAAAAAGTAGCTTATTGACTTAAGAGATTATCAAATAAATTCAAATAAAAACCTGAACATATACATACATTTGCTTGTTTCAGTTTTTTGGAATATTGAAGCCTGGAGAACAAATCAAGGACCATACGTTTGATAATACTTTTAACAATGGTAGGTGATGAGCTTTCAAATAGTATTCTTTGATTTTTAGGCATCTATTTTATGATATATACAGGTATCTGTGTTTTCAGTCTCTTAACCTTATATGAAAGTCAGTGACATTTGCCGAATCTGTGAATACCTTAATCCGATGTGTTCTGAGATACTTCCAGACTTGATTATTGCAATTCATTTTTGTTTAATCTCCCTGCTTCTTCTATCAAACGCCTTCAAATGATTCAAAATCATGCTGCCCATATGTGCTCTTTAATATTCCCATATTACCCTTATACTTCAAAATCTTCACTGGCTTCCCATCAAACACACATTATTTAAAAAAAAAAAAAATTTTTTTTTTTTTTTTTTTGGCATGTTATTGTATATAGATTAAATTTTATGTGTTTTGTACTTTGTATTTAAAGGGACAGCTAGCCTCCGGGTCATAGACTTGTTTCTTTAGCTGTCCTTTCCCATGTTTTTTGGTGAATAAGTAAATGAAATGAAATTAAATGAAAACACTTCTACTTACGTTTAAAGCACTTGTTCTGAGTGTACCTTTTTACCTTACTTGTCATCTCATTCGCTACTTGCCCACTCATCGCCTTTAATCTTCTTCGAAAAAATCTTCTCGCTATTCCAAAATCTCACACAACAAATGGCTAAAGAACATTTACATCTGCAGCCTCGTATTTTTAGAATGATCTACCTTCTTTCATTAGGTCTGATACATCATAAATTAAAATCTGAACTTAAAACTCATCTCTTTAATTGCTTGGCTTCTAATATATATACTGCGCGTTTGATCATTCTTGAAATCGGCGCATTACAAGTTTTTATTATCATTATTATAATGACGTCCACTGGAAATCCCTTTTTATCATTAATACAAACTAAAGGAAATCATTTCTACCACTTTTTTGTTAATACAGTAAAACTTTGTTTTTACGTACCTCAGTATACGTACACATCATACAGACTATGATGTCATCAAAAACCCCCAAAATACTCAAAACAAACGGCCCTCTTTAGCAGGGCTGGAAAAAGTAGGCGACTGGCGGTCGGAGGCATCATGAATGTCCTGGAGGCTTTTTTGGAGGAAAAAATTCAAAAAAATAAACTGTTGGGCTGTATAGTTGTACAGGTGAAATTTGGTGCTGGAGGCAATTTATTGAGACAAATTTCATGGTCTGAGGCACAAACATTTTTTTTCCAGTGCTGCACTTCAGAGCCACTATAATGTAAAAAGAGATTTGTTCGTTTGTGTCTATTAATTTTATTTCAATACCGTAGCAATAGACAAACCATATACCATATACAAAGAATTTGCATTCACATGCTTTTATAAGACCACGTGGACTGAGCGAGAGGAACATCTACCGTTGGTTTATGCACTTCAGAGCCACTATAATGTAAAAAGAGATTTGTTCGTTTGTGTCTATTAATTTTATTTCAATACCGTAGAAATAGACAAACCATATACCATATACAAAGAATTTGCATTCACATGCTTTTATAAGACCACGTGGACTGAGCGAGAGGAACATCTACCGTTGGTTTATTACTCACACCTCAGCAGCAGTGTTTGTGTAGTCCTCAAACTTTAACTGGATTCTTTTTACAGTAATCACTTGCCAATTTTCAATATCATACCCTTACTACATCTTCCAAATGACCATACACACATTTAAATTAGGAAAATGACTATTCACAATCAATTACTTGCTGTTTCTTTTTATACGTCAATGATATTTTCCAGTGATTTTTATTCTTTGCTGATGAAACTGCATTCTTTACATATCTTGCCTGGCATTTATCAATCTCAGCTTAGCAAATGTCTTTTAAGTCAAAAAAGTTGAGATGTCCCTAATAAATATCTTAAGCTGATTTATTACCAAATCTTAGCAAAATCTTGGCTTAAAAATCGTCTTAGATGGCGCCAATGTACAATCGACTATCTAATTTTAAGCAATTGTTAAGCCTAAGCAATATGGATAAATTTGACTTACTGTAAGCAAAAAATGGACTTAAGACGAATTTAAGCTGATTTCTAGTTTGCTAAATCTGGCCGCTGATCACTAATGTTGTTTTGCCTGTAGTTTGGGCTGATAATGCAGATGAATGTTCTAAGCAGTATGCAGGGACTGGTGCTCTCAAGACCGACTTTACACGTACTGGCAAAAGGACCAGGTACGGTCTCTTGAAAGATGGTTACAATTCAATTGTTAGGTATTACAAGAACAACTTTTCAGATGGAACTAGGCAGGTTAGTGCTCAAATGAGATTTCTTTATTTACTAATAATTCAAAACACTACTAATACTATACCATCCATGTTTGCAAACCCACATCCCATGGACACCCACATACAAAACTTTCTAATTATGAGCATTCTCTAAACCACAACAAATTACTGCTGTAAGTGCTATATTTAAGGACTACTTTTAATTTTTATTTTGAACCTTGGTGCTTTAATTTAATCATGTTTGCCTACCAGTACAGAATAATAGGTAATAATCATTGTACTAAATCTTCACACTGTATTTATTGTCATTTATTATTACAACATACGCCATGATGAGTAGAGCACAGGTTACTCTTCTAGCCCAGCTCTGCTGTGGACTTCCAGACACTGACTTCACTAGAGCATGGAGGTTTTTCATTTGTTGTTTATATTACTGTAGATATTTACATGTGTTTTTAATTTTCAGGATGCTATTGATCTGTTTCTTGGTAACTATATTATTGAAGAAAATGAAGGCATTACATTCCCCTCCCCCTTGGAACAGCAGAGAGATGTCAAGTATTTACTTGTAAGTTGTTTGTTTTATATTCTAATATCTTTAAAAAAAATATAGCAATAAAAAATGTCATTATTACATGTAGAGCTTTTTTGCCAATACACCAGGTGTTACGTAACACTCAAGATATACTAATCCCTGATTACCTCAGCGGACAGGCCAAGGTTATAGATAATGGGTCTTAGGGTGTACGGTAAGAATGGCCCCGGAAAAAATGGCCCAGGAAATAATGGCCCCGGAAAAAATGGCCCCGGAAAAAATGGCCCCTAATGACAAGTAGGTAAAAATGGCCCCCAATATTAAAATTCTGTATAAAAACTGCTTTTTT